GCCCTCATTGCGTACAAAATTATGTTATTGTGGAGCGGCGTGCATGACCAAATGGTTGGTGAAGAAGTTTAGATATGTGTAGGCAAACTATGGGGAAAAACAGCGCTACGTCGAAGAGCGCAAGTATGATCTGAACAGTTTGGCGAAGGGCGACAGCTGGTGACAAATAAACCACATGGACACATTCATCCGACTGCGGTCACTCAGCCCAGGTCTTTCTAAGCCAAAGAAATGTGGAAGCTACCAAAACGACTATATTGGTGCCTGGAAGCTCACAAGGAATACTTTGAGGAGCTCATACAGGTTCATAATTCTCAAATTTTTCATTTGACCCGTAGGAATAGAAGTCCTGGTCAACCTTGAAAGAACTTTTTACTTTGAAAGGTGTCTCGTCAGCTACTATAGAGACTCTGCTGTACTATCAGAATCTCATTCCTCGTTGTATCACTAAACACTTCGTTAATGCTTTTTATGGTACCTCGAGGACGCCGAAAAGAAACGCACCAACCTGGTATTAACATTTTATTAGGAATGTCGTAACATGCAGCAGCAGTGACTTCAACCGCTGAAATCCTTCATCGTGACTTTTTTTGTTGTTGTTTTAGCGGCAAAGGTATTAAGAAAGGCCCTTCCTTGTTAGCAGGTTTTTACTGTTTGCAATTTATTCTGTTCCTAAAACAGCTTGCAGTTCCGCGTATATTGCGCTTCAAGCAGAGAGTGACGAACTGAAGAGAGCTTGGGCGTACACCTTAGAAGGCAGCCGACTATTAGTACGCGGCCTTCATAGGACCCTTCCTTTATACTGGGGCTGGTAGCTTGAGTCTTTCGGGTGCATAAGGCAAATGAGGCATGCTGCTCAATGCCTAGGACTAGTGAGTTATCCTTCTGTCATATGAATCAGAAACATGGTATGTTGCACAGCGTGTCCTCCTCCCCCCCCCCCCCCTTTTTCCAAACAAAAAGGGAAAAAAAAGAAAAAGGAAAGCTAGTTGTTTTGTTTTTTTTTTACCGCAGAAATAAACTAGGGATCGCCGAATGGTTAAGGCCGGTTCACACATGCAGTACTGAGTTAAATCTGAAAAAGAAACAGCGCTGCTGCACTGACTAGAACGCATCGGTGCAACAACACTGCATTAGTACTAAGTATTTGCATCTGCTAAGTATTCAGCTTTTGTATCAGCACTCTACACTCTAAAAAATCAATCCAGTCGTAAAAGAACTCTTAAGCAAGGGTCACACTGCTCATACATCATACAAGAGACAGTCTGCAAAAACAAGACACCGCAACATCCGTTGATCGAATTCCACGTGCCAAGATTCTCCTTGAGCTGAATGCCACGCGGCATTTCAATCACGGATCTCGCTTTGACTCGCGTGCGAATCTGTATGCAGATTGCCTTTTGAATGAATAATGACCCCTTTTACTATTCACAGGCATGGACCGTTGCTTGCGTCCTAAGCGACTTCCGGTCGCTCCATTTTTGCAGGACCATCGAGTTTGCTTAAGTCACCTGTGCTTGAAAGCATAGATGCTACACGGACACCAAAGTTCAAGATTTATCGAGGAGCTTCGGCTGTACAATTTAAGGACTTGGAGGAGACAAGTTGGTTTACAAGAATATTAGAAAAATGTTAACAGATCTCGCGCTTCTTGGTTCTTTTTGGGTTCACCTGGAGAATTCGTGGATAAATGTTTCATCGACGTTTCAAGCAGCGGTGTTAAGATGGGCTTTATGCCTTCTTTCTTGAACCGGAAGTTATCTGGGACGTCAAAGACTGGAGAACCGCCTAGTTGAGTTGGCAACGGAAAGGGTGTATAAGCAGTATAACCCCGGAATTAATGGTTCTTCGGCTTGTCCCTATTTTTCACTCTAAAGCGTTCTTTTTAAGCGCCCCTGAAAAGTCTTTTCGCAAAAAAACATATTGGGGTTCTTTTAAGTTCTTTTTTATGCGAAAGCGTTGCTCACCGCCCAGTTGCCTAACCAGAACGCCAGGGGGCGATAGTGCTTGAGGCGAAAATATTCTTCACGAGCTGAAAGAGTCCTTAGGGCGTCAAAGAACCTTTCAATAAGGAATTTTGTTTTTAGAGTGTATAGCTAATATTGCGCGAAATCGGAGCTACATCAGCGAGGTCAGCGCTAATTCTAGCGTTGATTTAGCGCTACGATCTTTGCGTGAACGGCCATTTATTATCCACCCAAATGTAGCCCTAGCGGTTTGAACTAGACGCCAAAGTTCCATAACTCACCGGTATTTCATTCAAACGTTATAAGTTATCTTGGAACGTTTTCAATGGAAAATAGCGCCCTTGGATACGTGATGTTGAGTGGCGCCCGCTACCGGGAACGGTACCGCATGCTCCCATTGAATGTTTCAGAAAATCTATTGTAACTTTTTCAACTGGTTCGAGCCAGTAGCGCTATATTAAGGTGTAGACTTAGCGTTTGACCGTGCGTAGTTTATTTTTACGGTAAAACGAAACCCGCAATTATTTTCTTTTCGAGAGAAGGGGGGGGGGGGGGGGGGGACACCTTGTGTATGTTGACGGATGCCCCACTGGCCTGCCTGTTACACGGACATGACAAATTCTCTTGACAAATATTTGACTGATCACTATCGGATGGTTGAGTAGAGCGAACTTGAGGCGAGAGCTAATGCGATCGTCATTCTGTAGTCATACTAGCATGCTCTAAGCAGTCGTCGGATTTTTTTTTCCCCGTGGGGTCGGTTTACTTTTCTTCTTTTCAGGGAGTGTCCTTGGTGCAGTGCGATCGTTACCTTGCTCAATGACGATAGCGTCGCATCTTTCCAAGCCAATATAAATATTTTCGAAGGCATGTTGTGTTGATTACATAAAGTACATTTTAGAAAAACCGAATTTTGATTTGCTACGTTTCTGAAATCAAGCAGTTTTGAATGTACGGTTAGTACTGAACTCAGGAAAAACGTAGCGTCCCTGATCGGTAAATCTGTGACATTAAATTTTACAACTCCGTCAAATTGTTCGTGTTTGTGCGTCTGTATGAACTTTCATACAGGCGTTATGACTGTAATTATGTCGTGATACAAAATAAAGAGAAAGCGGTTAACAGTTCGTATCCTACCAAACAGGATACCTTTTTTGTTTTTAGAAACGGGTACCAACATGCGTCCTTCACCTTGAGCATTTACTAACTCCTCTCACAGAAGTTTTCGCATTATATTCAAGGAGGGTAATGGGATGCATTCGCTTATTGTTTACATATTTGTTATATTACAAGAGTGAATAGAGACCAAAAAATAACAGCCTGTAATGTCAACTCGTATAAAGTGGGACAAAGCTGCGCATGTACGATTAAAGATGAAACTGGTTCTAATCCTGGGATGATGATTGGTCCGTGGCTCTCGAGAATGCTCCCAGTAATGCTAATAAAAACATGTGAAAATACCGCAAACTGGGCGCTGGACCTCTCGGCGCTGCATAAACCGCGAATCGCGAGCATAAGCGCAAAACATGGCACCAGTAGCTGCTGCGAATTCCGTCCAGCGTTTGGGAAAGTAGCGCCAAGGCTTCCTCTTGCAATGACCTCCGTATTTACTGTGTTCCTCGTTGAGTTCTGCATATCATCGCACGTTCCTAGATAACGTTTGCTTCGATCAGAGACTCACGAGGAAGGGAAAATACAATGCCGCTCAGCTAATACCAATAAAGCATTTTTTTAGCACTTCTAAAACAACCCAACAAAGCAACTCGAAAACCGCCTTTCAAAGATACTTCATCAATATCTATAAATAGGTCCACCAGAGAACGTTTAATCTCGAAGGTGTCTCCTCATCGCATATATCCTGATAAGTTAGGTTTAGGACATTTCAAAGATGATACTATATGTAGAGAACGATTAAAAAGTTTAATTAAACAACCCTGTATTCGCTTTCTTTCTGTTTTTTGTTTGTTTCATCAGCTTTGCAAGTTACACCACTTACTTGAACAAGGCCAAAGGCATCGTCGTCGTACAACTCTGTTGAAGACGATCAGAATCTCTCGTGTTTCAAACCTAGACCTAAGCTTATTTCTTCTGGCACAATCACAAACTTGAGGGGGTATTCTCCGCTATGTGCTGTAAAGTCACATCGTTAAATGAGCCACTCATTAAGCCCATTAACACTCGCAAAGAAACAGATAAGAGTATGTTATTACCGCCCCTGCAAGGCCGCAATGCTCTGGGAGACAACCGACTTGAATTGAAGATCTGCGGCGCCACCGAATTTGTTTCCTCTGGCTCCTTTGCAGTTTTGACGATGTGTGCCGACATGTCTGTGTATCAGTGATGTCAGAGAAGGTGGAGCATCTGTCGCTTGTATCGCGGCCAGAGAGGCCGCGCACCTTGGGCAAGAGACACTGGGGAAGATTCGGACATCACACGCACGAATGTTCCTCGGGGACGACGCGCAACTTTCACATTGCGGTGCCTCGCTCTTCGACGCCGAATACTGCTTCCATTGTGAGCAATGTCCGAGGCTGGGGGTTTATTTACACACGCTGCACGTACTGCTTCCGTCATCTTGCAGCTGGAAGCTTGCGCGGTACAGGGGACGTTGCGAATGCCACGTAGTCACTGCGGCCACGTTGTTCCCTTTCCCCTGGCGAACGTTCAATTGGGCCTATTGCTGCATCTTGCGAAGAAGCGCTGTAAATGGCATCCATCAAAAATACGGAAAAAATCGGAACGAGTGGTAGAACTGAATCAACTAAAACAAACCCTATATGCTGAGAGCCGGTAGAAGACAAACGAGAGCTCTTGATGTTGGTTCTACCGACGCGTCATGACGTCCCCTCGTGCATCTGCGGATGAGAAACTGGCAGGGCCGTTTCAACGGGTGAACCATAAGCCATTTGAACGAGTCCTCCTGTTCCAGGATGACATCTTGGTGCCCCTGCGGTCACAGTTGCAGGGCATTGAGAGGCCAGTTGGGGTCGCCTTCCTGAAGACTCCCGCCAGAGCAGTGAAGGGGACCGCGCGTCAGATGATGGACTCTCTGTTACGCTCGTGCTCGTCCGACGAGCACCCGCTGCTCCCCGGACTCACCGCACCGCAGATCTGGAGCTCGATCTCGGCGAGTCTGTTCTCGACCTCCCACTGCTGCTGGCTCAGCTTGACGCTCATGGTGGCGTTCTCGGCTTCCAGGGTAACCAGGCGCTCCCGGAGTCTCTTGATCTCGGCAAGCAGGGCCTCTTGGGACGCGTCTCGCGCGGGGCTGCCCTGTGCTGCGCCCGCGAGGCTCGGCACAAGTAGGTGGGTGGTGGACGCCGACGACGTGCCCAGCGGACTGGCGTTCGCCGAGTACTCCGAGGGGGCCCCGTTGCGGTACGGGCACGGAGACGCCGGGGTGACGACGGCCGCGTAGCGCCGGGGCTCGTTCCAGGCCGCGCTGCTGCTGGTGGTAGCCATCCTGGGTTCCTGGCTGCTCGTGCTGCTGCCGCTGCCCGTGCCCTGAGCGAGGGCGGCCACCGACGACGACGCCTCCTTGCTGGGCGCCACCGCCATCTCCTCGAGCGGCAGCTTTCCGCGGGACTCGACCAGGCCGGGGGTGCTCCGGCTCCGGCCCAGGGCAACTGCGGGGCGACACCGAACGGGGGACCGACCCAAGGGATCCCCGCCACGAGTACAGGTCAGGCGAGCCGTACACGATGTCGTCCAGGCGCTAGGCCAACTGACAACTTAAGAAGCGCAGGGCGTAACGTACTGTGTTCGCGCATGTTGTTCTTAGGCATTCTTAGGCATTCTTTGGTGTTCTTAGTAGCCGAAATCTCTTTGCCTGCGAAGGGACTCACCACGCCCAGCGGTTATTAAGCTGTCGGTGACAATAGATGCCAAAGCCCTAGAGAATATGTTAGTGAAAACACGAATCCCAACCAAACGCTGACACAGCGCTCCTGTCCTCTGTGTGCCCAGCCGCCAGCGTCATACTTCTTTAGGGGACGCCGGAATATCACCACTTTGGCTTTGCTATCTATGAGGTATTGGCGCGGGAAGTCATGTCGGAGAGCCTTAACGCTCTCTGAAGTGAACCCTTCGGCCCACGTTTGATGCAGTCACGACACTAAAGTTTCCCATAGGTGTTTGAGATCAAAAGGCGCTTGAGAACTGCGCGTTATTGGATCTTTGCGCTCACCTGATAAGCTTTTTCTTTTTGACGGTTAAGTTAAGAAATAAAGTTTAAAAAAACTTTGCGAAACCTGTACCACAGCGGTTCAAAAAAGAACTATCTTCCAAGTGACAGGGCTTAACCCGACCTTTCACTAAAACACTTAGTCAGTGCAGACATTTCGTTAAGTCTCTTAGTGAATCGTTGGCTGCGATATTGTGAACTTCCGTATTGTGGAAAATGAAAATATTGCGCATTTTAATGTGTTTTTTCTGTTCCTGTAAAGAAACAGAGGCTTGCCCATTGCGACGTTTCAGTTGCTTTCTTTTTCTATTTTGCCGCCTCTCTCAAAATGGCAAAAGAAAATTGAGTTTGACGAAGGTTTTGACTTTGAAGCTTTAGGAAACTCCTTATCCCGTTTTTCTTATTTGGTTCGATCACCGTTGTGTCGTGTTCGTTGCATACCGCATGCTCATACATATACTGCATTAAGACTGAGGTCATTTTGTCAATGTTTAGTATAAAAGGAGCCATTGACTGCTCTCAATAAAGTCAGGGCAGATCATGAGCCGTTCTCTGAAATTTGTCCAGTTGCGCTCGTGCACGTTTCTTCAAAAGAAGAGGCGTGCAACGTCGACTGTACATTTAATGAAAATTAAAAAAAAAAAAAAAAACATTTATACATCCCGCGGGCTGCTCACACGGGAATTTTTACTCCTTAATAATAATACAGATGCATCAAAGACTGGGAACGTAAACACACCATGGCAGTTAGGGAAAACTAGTCATCCATAGCGATAGTTGACCTTGCTCACCGGACCTAAAGAAGCACAAAATTTATCTGAAGACTCAAAGACAAGAAAATGGAGAGATATATGTCACTCATCGCAATAACGCGCATAAGTACCAGTTGAATAACCGAACCAGCACATATATTATAAAGAGTTTGCATTTCTGCGGATGTAATCGCACAGGGTGTTCAAATTTTCTTTTTTTTTGTGTTTGTGTGCGTGTGTTTTTTAGTTGAAAGTAGTTCTTTGTGTTGTCGATCTCTTTTATACAAGTTTTATTTTTGACGATTCATTCTATGCACCTCGGTATCTGTCTTCAACTTCTCAATTCCTGAAAGCGAACTAAGGTAGTCCATAAATTATTGCATTTTTAGGCCCTCGATAGGATACAGAAGGGGTACAAATGTCCAAATGTCTAAATATCGCAATACGACGACACTCAGAGAGTAAGATCTTACGAACAAAAGTATGAATTCAGGAAATAATATTGCGACATCCAGTACATAACTTTGCTTTCCAAGATCAATTGTAAAACTAATTACCTAAGAACAAATATTTTTTTGGGATGAAAAATACAGGTTTAGTTGCAAATGAACATCCCAAGAAATGATATCAAACATTTATGTTCCATGCAACATATATATCATTACACCACACGTCCTGCAGGCCTTTTAGTACGTTTGTGCTCTCACGTACTGTTCTGCCTGAGCAGTACTACATGATCTTAATGGGTTTAGAGATAAAATTTGATAAAAAGTGAGCAGGAAATTGGGTGGAAAGGCGTATTTTACGCTCATTATAATTCATAGGTGGAAGTACAACAAACTTTGCGTTGGAGCAAATTTCTTTTAACTACCTCATTAAGCAAAGGCCTCGTGTACTGGTGTCATGAATGGATGGATAGATAAGTGGTATTGGATACACCCTTTCTTACGGGCGTTAACTTGCGCTGGCGCGATCTACCTCAAGCTATCACCCTAAGGTTCATTCTCATAAGGCCAGCTGAGAATTTCCAGGCTTAAAAGATTGAAGTAAGATGGTTGGTCAAAATACGCGAAGGTGATGTTGCGCTTTTCAACCATGGATTGCTTGCGTTCGCCCAGTCAACCAATTTGTCTAGGTAGCAAACCAATACTTAAGCGCTGATTAATGTACTAGATTTTCATAAATGAACTCACTTTACCTGCCACCAATAATTGCAGTTTCCCATCGCGCTAACTGAACAGCTTCATCAATGAAACAAGAAATACTGTGTAGAATGAAGGGTGAGGAATTAATTTTATATCATGTGTTTTTGCCGAGGGCAGGGCAAGGTTCACCGGGTTTTTCTACACTACTGTGCCTCGTGCAGCATGCGCAGGACTGGGGCTGTGAAGAGGAAAAATCGGTTAGATCAATCAAGCATTTATAATAGGCCTATTTCACAACCACACGTATTAACATAATTCGTGGGTCAAACGCTCATAGATATTACAGCCTTCTGGGAAGCTGGTGGTCCCCGGAAGCGTCGAAGCATTTAGGTTTTCTTCTAGAACTTTTAGTGAAATGGGTTTCTATACTAATATCAGTATTACGCTTTCAGTTCAGTTTTGTAGGCTTTCCATGGTTTTAGAATTTTCTTATAATTCTGGACGGGCATATTGCACGCTTCATTCGTGCGCGTTTATTTTAGTGAATAAAGAAATTTGTCTTATTTCAAGACGCGCGGCTTTAAAGGAGATTTGAGAATATCAGGTCAAATGGGGAAGGCTATGCAAAACTTCCTGAAGCAAATCAATTTATTTTATCGCTTGTCAACCGAGATTGCACGTAAGTTCGAACGTTTCTCATCGGAAAGCGAGCTATATCTGCGGCCTTCGAGGAAAATCTAATTGAAAACTAAATGTTCGCAAAAAAAAAAAAAGCATACGCGTCCTCTATCTTTGGTGCGGAAGGTAAGCCTAAATTCTTGTCACGAATACAAAAAAAAAAAAAAACGACAATAATGGCGACTCAGAAATGAAACATCTAGCGAGTAAGCGACATTCTAGAGGGTTATACTTTGTCTCATCCTACGATGGACTAAAGGCCAAAGCCACGGGCCGCCAGGTCCAAACACGTTCCACGTCAATCTATAACATGACTAACATTGATTAGGGGTAGACGAATAATGCTCTGAATCAAAGAGCGCTGCATCATTTCTATAGCTTCGACAATGTAAAGAGCCTGTATATCGTGGCTTTCTCCGCAAAATAAAACTGATGAGTCACTCAGTGCTCATCTCACTGATACGTGCATCGAAGCGAAATACAGCGCGATTAAGAGACTCTTGATTGGATCGGGCGGTTCGTAGCTTCTGCCTTTAGTCCATCGTAGGGTGAGACGAAGTATAGTTGAAATAAAATTTGTGGATAATTTTCCTTTTAGCGATGCCGTTGATTATGCTCCGTTTTAAATTTAGCCCGACAGCAGCCGACACTACGATTCAAAAAGGCCAACCAAGTAGCGCGAAAAACGTGTCGTTACGTCGTTCGTCGTTTTTGTACGTTTTCAATCACCGGCTAAATCAATCACGCGCAATGACTGCGCCACGATCTTGCTTTTTTTTTTAAATTTGTGATTGGTATGCGGAGCGAAAGTTCGTCTGCTTCTTTTGCAGGGGTTCTGGTCACCTCAGAATGCCAAGCACTGATTGGTTTAGACCTCAAGGCAGCTTGCTTTTAGGTCCACCTACTGTCCTTCGATCAGAGCCAATTGGAGCTCGTCCTCTCTCTGACGTCACCACAACTCCTGCAAAAGAGGCAGACGACTTGCTCTCCGCATAGCCAGCGGTTGCAGACGCACAAAAGCAACGGGCACCGTGATTACACACTTTTGACGCGGCTTAATTATAATCAGCTTTACAGAATCGGAGTGCCGGGTTCGCCCAGGCTTAGAAGAAACGGACTCTGGAAAACTACTGCAGGAGCGGGCTTCGACATCCCCGGACGCGACAGACGCGTAGAAATCAAAGGGCTGAGCGATTGAGACGAGAGCGCAGATCGATGCAGCGTCAGACACTGCAGCCACAAGCGGCAACTGCTGGCCCGTTCGCACGATCTTGGCAAAGCTGCAAAGACGTCTGTAGTCTCCGGCACAACAACAAGCACGTCCGCGCCGTCTCTTAAGAGCGCCGATAAGAAGAGAATTCTCGACCGTAGCACCGCCGAACGGGGAAGTTACGCTCAAAAACACTCCTCCGCAAAAAAAATAAAAAAAAATAAATAAAAAAACGAGGGCGCCTCAGGTTGTGAACCCTCGGGACGAGGCGATCGTCTGCAAAGGTATTCTTCGAGATTATTTGTTATCCGTTGAAATACGGCTTTACTGTGGAATCTCGCGAATATAAAATATGAGGCCAGGACGAATGCAGGACTTCAAGAATGAACGTTGCTCTTTCCGCAATACTTCTGTCCGTTGCTCTGAGATGCGGCGCATTTACCGAAACACGTCGGTAGCCGTAACTTCGGGTCGAACGTAGAGTACGATTGAAAAATGGTCAGGCAACTGTTGCCACAGTCCTGATTGTCTCTGCGATTTGATCCTCTACGTCAACAAGACCTACACGAAACGTCAGTAGCAATGTTTCTTAGATATAAAAAGAGTCAAGATTGCTTCTTCTTTCTTCCAGTTTCACCGTGTTCTTGCAGGGTTAGAGTATGAAGTATAATAATGTGCAAGATAAAAGCAGTGACCATGCAATCCTTTGAGCAAGTCCTTAATATGCAAGGCCCGTCGTTAACGTCAGACGAGTTTTAAGCGAAACATTTGTTTTTGTGCTACCGAAACATGTCGAAGCACATTGGAACATAAGAATTCGTTTCTTCGTAAAACTGCTTTTGTTTTTGTTTTTTTCTGGGCCTAGAATGTTTTGCAAAGTTGGGAGGTTGATTACATGAAAACTTGGTCATAGAAATGCCGTCCCACAGACGAGCCGCCTGCTGCCGAGAACCACGCAGTGCTCACGCGCATCCTATCTTATCTTCTGGTTTGCTCGCTTGCTCGTTTGAACGGGGCGCGCTCCTGTCTGTTTGGAACGGCGATAGACACCGCTCCGGCAGCCGTAAAGTCCACAATCTGCGCTCATCGCGCTAGACAGCTGCCGAGGAGCTGAGCTTACATGCTCTGCGACACGGGCAGTTCACGCGACCCTTACGCGCGACCCGGCAAACCGTTCAAAAACAATGGCACGCCATTCCGCATATGCGTCATAGATAATATTACTCGATGCATGCGCCTCAGAGACCGCGGCGCAGCGGGCTGCACATTTGCCTCTACCTGACTCAGAAGCGCTTTAATTCGCATCTTGCGTACTCGACATCGTCACACGGAGGAGCCCGTGGACGTTTCGTCAGCTGCGACCGTAGTTCTACAGAATGTTATGCAACATAGTAAACCTATGCACCTACCAATTTTTTTCGTAGGTAAAACTGAGGAATCTGTGGCGAGCCACTTTAAAAGTTTCGGTGAAAGTTTCGACACCAGATCTTACCAAAAAAAAAAAAAAAAAAAAGCTGCCACTAAATTTTAGCAACCGACGCAGCCAAAAGGCTAAGAAGTGAGGTAGAGTAAACTGTAATAAAACGATCGTTATTGTAAAGGAACAAGCTGTGGGAGCCGCTCGTTCTTCTCCCCGAACAGGCAGTAGACCGAGGACCTGACAGCAGAAGTCGTCTGACTTCTAGCCGAAGCGTACCGTACTAGTTAGAAAGAGGTCGCTGTCTTGCCAATCCACTTTTCTACTCCTCCGTTCCTGTCCCCGTCTTTTTTGGGAAACCGCGAAAGCTCGCATTGGAAATCGGCGCTCTCCTCGTTCGAGGAGGCGGCCTTCGGCGGAGACTTCTCAATGGAACACCAACGACGACGGGTCGCGGCGTGAGGTCGTCCTACGACGATGAGGCGCTTTCAATTACTCTTGCTTTCTTCGTAGTGGCCTCTCTGCGTCAACGGCTCGCTCGACAACAATGTATTTCTGGAAACCCCTGATTTTAATAAACGCTGCTGGATATCGGGATTATCCTGTTACCATGGCGTTGACAAACCCGGGGCCGCGATCACGCTGTTGCCGGTAGCCAACGGCCACCCGATGGGACGGCGGACGGCGGGTTTCCTTGGACATCGGGCCCCCTTTGAGCACCTGCCCAGATACCGAAGGGTACCCTGTCCGTCAAACTTATCTGTAACACGAAAACAGCATCTTATCTAATGGCAGCGCTATCCTTGTGGCGGCCGAAGAACTAATCCATGACGTAGCGCTCGATGGAACAGCCCGAGCACAGAAATCCGCTCGATAAACTGTGGATACCGCAACAATTTTGCCCCAGCAGGCTGTACATATCACCGCTCATTTTGCACTGAGATGCATACGTACATCTCCAAACAACAGATACCTATGCATTATGGATGATTCAGTGAGAAAGCATTCGATGGCAGGCACGTAGCCAGAAGGGGAGGGGGGCCCATGGGGCCCTCCCCCCCCCCCCCCCCCGCCCCCGAAATTTTTCATTTTGCTGGGACCTCCTCTCCCTCTCTCCCTCATACGGCATTTTGCCATGTGCGGGAACCCCCACCCCATTCCCCCGAAACAAAATTGTGGCTACGTGCCTTATTCGATGTTTGTACCGAATGAGGCGAAATGCGTAGATTTTCCAACACGCAAACTTGCTGTGTTTTTCCCCGGCAAGCAGTGATTTCGGCTTCGAGCGAGCGGCCACCCTTGTTTCACTAAGCGCTACGTCATCAAGCAGTTCTTCGGCTGCCGCCAGGATAGCTTTCCTATGAGGTAAGACACTGTTCGCGTGTCCGGGATAAGTTTGTGAAGCACTTTACGTAATCGCCACAAACTCCATGAATGTCATAGAAGTTGTTTTGAGCGTTTTAAATAGGCCGTCTTTTTTAAGATGCCCTGGTTCGTTCGAAGGCCGTGCTGTTGCACCAGCCGTACAATCAATTGAAGAAGGAATGGAGGAGTGCCGTGGAAGAGCAGCGCGTGGAGCCGGGGTTCTGGAGAGAAGAAGGCTGGTGTAGGGGGGTCCATTCCAAGGGTCTTGTGCGTGGCCAGAGGAAGAGAAGGGGAGGATGCAGGCGTGCCGGGGGCAAGGCAAAGAGCGGGCAAGCACGAACCTCTGTCGAGCACGACAAGGTTGTCGGCGAGTCCTGCCACGGAAGCGTACGAGGCCTGCCCCAGAGGATGTCGCGCGCGCAGAAGGCGTGACCGGACGGGCCCGGGCGCCTCTGCCCCCGCGCAAGGCGTCAGCTGGAGCGCCGACGTGGCGAGGAACCTACTTTTCCGGAGCGGGTCGCGCTTGTACTTCTCGAGCCGCTTGACGGCGATGGCCTCGAGGCGGACCCTGGCTGCCGGGTAGTCCTTGAGCACGTCCCACATGTCCTGCTTGTAGAGGCAGAAGAGGTCCGAGTAGCCGACCGAGCGCACGGATGCCGTGCGCCTGTTGCCCGCCGTGCCCATGTTCAGTATGGAGATCTCGCCGAAGTAGGAGCCCGCACGCAGTGTGGCCAGCACCGTCTTGCCGTTGTCCGTCACCACCTGGAGCCGGCCGCGGTTTACGATGTACATCTCCTTGCCCACCTCGCCTGCGGAGGAACGGTCAAATTCAGGGGGTTTTCGAGCCAAACCACTCAATGGACATCTGGCACTGCCAAACGAAACAGTAAGCATCCATTTCGACAACCTGGGGATCTTTTGACGAGCAACCCAAATCTAGTTTACCTGGCGCCTTCTTTGCAATGCACCTATGTTTGATTGCAGACACCGCGGCCGGTATTCGAACCGGGGGAACTGCTAAGGCGCGGTCACGCTGCAAATACACCATGCACAAGACAGTGTGCACACAACGCTGAGTTGCGTTTCTTCCTTGTATGGCGGTCCTGTGACATTGGTCATACAAAACCTGTCCGCAGAGATATTCGAGTCATACATTAAATGGCGCAAACATGGTTCGAACATATTTGAGGCATGTCGGCAAATAACTCCGTGCATCCTGTCTGCAAGTAGCACCCGGTAATTTGTATGATGCATGCGCAGCGTGAATGCTGCTTTAAGGCGGTGTCACACTGCTCATACATTATACTAAAGACAGTCTGCGTACATATTCGGACGAGGGTCATTCAAGATTCATGCTTCGAATGCCGCGTGGCAATGAGTTCAAGGAGAAAACGTGGCACGTGGCATTCGATCCACGGATATTGCGGTGACTCGTGATTGCAGACTGTATTTTGTATGAACTACGAGCAGTGTGATCCCGGCTTTGCGATCAGAAGGGCCATGTGTACTCCTCTTCACCTTATCATGAGCAGCAGCGGACGCTTCAAGCTATCCGCGCCAAATCAACCTTGCGTCTACTGCGGTACATGCTGATGTGAAACCAAGAAATGGGGCTTCTAACCGATACAGAAAGTGTTATCAAAGCTGGTAGGAACAACCTTAAAAATCGTCAAACAACCTTAAAAATCGTCAAACTCCTGGTAGATTTAAGGCCTGTTCACACATGCGGCGGAGCGCTAGAAGCATAGCGCTGACCTCCCGCTAAGGACGTGCTGACGGGAGCGTTCACCAGCTTTGTATCGCGCCGTCAAAACTGTCGCTCATGGCGGACGATAAGTAACTGACGACGCGTGAGCAGCGCTACATCAGCGATTCACTGCAGGTGTGAAATGGCCTTTTGGGTGGCATCCGACGATTCTTTAAGAGACGTAACCTCAAAAACGTACGGTAGGTTTTTTTGCCTTTTTTTCTAGAAAAACGTCCAGTGACACTATTACGAAGTATCCAGGGCATCGGCGATCACTGCAGCGTCCGCTACGCCATTTTCCATAGCATGGATTACCGGAAAGGCTGCAGCCAATTGATTGTAGCTTTGAAATGTGCCTTGGGTGCTCAAAAACTCTTGCTACAGCAGATGAAACAACGTCGTGAGCCCAACCTACCCTTCCTGCAGATGTAGTCACCGGGACTGAAGAGCACGGGCCGTAGCCTAAGCACCAGCTCGCACAGGAAGCCGGCCTCGGTGTTCTGGAAGATCTCGACCCTCTTGAGCGTGTCCAGGTGCACGTGGATGGCGATCTCGGCCTTGAGCTTGTCCGGCAGGCAGCCTACCGAACGCTCCTCGTCCGAAGACTTCTGCGTCAGCCAGAGGTAGTCGAACCACCGAATCACCTTGTTCTGCAGGTGGTCCGGCACGTGGCGCATCCGCATGTACGTCTTCACCGCGTCCAACTTGGCTGCATGAGAAATGACGGAGGCAAGTTATCATCAACATAGAGCGCGGCAAATAATGTAGGCTCGTCATTGTCCATGATAGTACTGTAGTTAAGGGCACATTATCGTCTACATAGAGAACGGTAAAGATAAAGGCACGTAATCGTCTAGGGTAAAGGCTAGAGGCACGTTATTGTGAACGGTAAAAGTTGAAAACACATCATCGTCTGCACAGAGTACGGTAAAGCTGGAGGCACGTAATCGTCAAGGGTATTAAATGGAGCACATCATCATCAATGATTAAAGGAATTGTCCTCTGATATCCGGAAGTTACTAAGTATTTGTGCTGGTCACGTGGAGCGGGCCGAAATATAGTCCCAAGTGATATTTATTTTATTTAAAGCCGCCCAATAATCGATAAATCAATGAACATCAACACAAAACTGCACGCCAAAGTTTCGTAAGTATCCGTAGCTGGTCGTGTCGTGACGTCACATCAGGCATGGTAACGTCAGAGTGCGGGCATTGACTTATTTCCGGTTTTGATCAACATTGATGGTGCGTACAAAGATAATCGTCGATAAACTGAGCATCCCTCAATGCCGCAAATCTTATCTTTCTCAGAGGGAGGCTGTTTTGCTGAGGAGGCGGTCACGAGTTGTCGTGGCTCTCTTTGCATGATGTTACGTCAGAGCTTCCGCTGTTGCCAACGAGAACGCAGTGCGTTGTGCGGGTGCAATCTGAGCAGTTGGGTTGACTTTAAAACTGAATTACTTGCGCGGCGGAGGATTAAAAATTTGGATATTGTGCGGAAAATATTTCTAAAAGCAATGACAATATAATTTAGTTGTTTTCTGAAACATACAATTTTACCGGACAATCTCTTTAAAGTGGAAAGGAGATATCATAGATGACATTGAGTACGGTGAGGATGGATGGACGTCAATGTCAACGATAAAATATCGAGCCCAAGCATCGTCTACATGGTCTACGGAAATTCATAGAGGCACTACATTGCCCAGTGTAAAGAATGAAGACACGTCACCAACAGATCTGATGGGTCTTCATGCCTAGCTGGAGTAACCTGAAAACCACGCTGTACGGCAATTTTAGCTAGTTTAGTAAGAACCTCTATTTAGCGCGAAACTCTCCACCGGCCTTAGCGAGGATCAACGAAGTGCTCAAATTACCCAATACCCTAGCACAAAATGTGCAAAACGTTGTTTACCGACAAACCAAAAGTACTTTTCTGATAATCCGACCAATCTTTCAGCGTTACTTGTTCCAAAACATGTTTGTTTGTGAACGTGGTGCCCATCCAGCGCTAAAGAATTCGGACAACCTTGCGTATCAGTGTGTTAGCTTGCGCCTTTCATGGTTTGTACCTCTAGTAGTATAAGATCTTAAAGGGTAACCCCGGTAATATTTTTTTCGATTTCAGGGTTACGACTGTTTTGGGGGAATGAATGGTCTTTAAATTACGAGGTATCATTTTTACAGCGGAGCTTTTAAGGGCTAGTTTCCCCAAAATCGCGTCCACCAGCAAAGAAATGATGACACTGAAAACTCGACAACTACCGCCATCTATGAGCGACGGAGGCAACCAGACAGCTGATTGCCGCCGTCGCTCATAGATGGCGGCAGCCTTTCTTTGGAGAAAGAAGAGCGGGAGCGGAACGAGCGGCGATGTGCGCAGATGCGGGGATGGTTCCGCAACCGCCGCGAAGCCGCTTTCGCCTAAAGTTCCACTGCGTAGAGCGCTTCAGATTCCCTTGTGAAAGAAGAGAAGACCGCTCGCACGGAAAGCCACCGACGCGAACAGAACCTACGGCTCTGCTGCTCTTTCCTCTTTTCCTAAGCGGAAAAATTGAAGTTTTTTTTTTTTTATTCTTTGTGTAGCTTTATGGATATCTTATCGGAACGTTTTGTTTCGGGGGTCTACTGCGAAATCGGAGCTACAGGCTCAAGCATGATGGCAACCTCTGTGATCAACTCCATGGCCATCATGTGACGCAAAGTTCGTGCTGCGGTGCGGCAAAACGAACGACTGGCCTAGTCGCAAGAGCAGTTTGGATCAACGGCTGTTTTACTGCTTTGCTTTGTTTAAAATGTCACGAACGACAACGGATGAGGCGATGATAACTGAAGAAACTAAACGTTTAATGGGGCGAATTTGTGCCCAAAAATAAAAAAAAAAGGAAACAAAAGATAACAGAAGAGCGTCGCGGGCGTCAACGTCGGCGGAGCAGCAGGGTCGAACACTGGGGCGAGACTGACTGCAGATCGCCACGCAGAGCCCCTTATGTACGCGCGTTGGCTTCTGGAACAATCGGCCTAGAACGTTCGGCGACTAGAACATTCGGAACTCGAACAGTCGAGAGCGTTCTCGAACTCACGAGAACGCAATGTTGAAAGAATAAATAAAAGAACATTCCACTGTCTGGAATTGAACCTAGACGTTCCGCGCGACAGACAAGCACGGTAACCACTCTGCTTTTTTTTTTTCGCGGTAATTACTCTGCCACGCACGCGGTCGCTCGTCGACGCGCGTGGCAATATCAAACATCTGTAGAACATATTATTAGACCTATTGCTATATTACCCAAGCATCAAGGAGAATGCAAGGATTGGTGTTCCACGTGCCGCACGTGCTGGCCTCAGCAGTAGTAAAGTTTCTAAAGAAAATACCTAAAACAAATGACATCTTGCACGGGCGTTCTTCAACGCTTTATTTTGGTTATTTACTTCGAATCTTTTATACGGGGAAGGCGTGCGCGTGTGGCGCGTGGAACACCAATCCCTGGATTCTCCTTGTTGCTTGGGTAATATAAGTTTACTAGCCAGTTCGGCAACACCACCACTGCCGCAATGCATCGAGGGAACTCTATACTCCATTTCATACTTAATATGCAACGCTGTCGGAGCTACTGGCGCGAGCCCGTGGCTTTGGCTACGGTTTCTTTCGCGCGGAGCGCGTGCAAATGATCAACGATACCAAGCCTCATGCTCGTGCCAGTAGCTTTGACAGCGTTGTACGCTAAGTGTGAAACAGAGTATATTCTTTCTGCACGTGCGACAACTTCGCTGCAGCTGTGCGCGTGAAGAGCACAAGTCGGCACGAGCCGTCTCGAGCAGTGCCACTTGCCTAGTGTGAACTAAAGTTATGGCGGCTCCACACATGCGCCAAACGCTTAGTGAGATCGGTTCACAATGTATTTCTTCCGCCGTGGATCGGTCTTATTCATAAATTTGCCGGCCCCCACTTATCTTCTAAGAAGAACTACAATCTTGGCGGAGTGTAATGCACGTTGCAGAGGCGTTATGGATGCAAATTGGAAGCTCGCGCTGAGCAGAAACGGCCTAAACTATATGGCCGCCAGTGAATGCCACCTCCGGCACAATGACGCGCTTGAGCGAGCTGGGAGCCAATGGTCTTCTTACGCCGATTGGTGAGGAGCACTTACAACCTTCAGCCGCTAAAACATAACGTAAGAAAATCAGCAATCATCTGCTAGGACGGCTGAAAACGCACCAGAAAAACACGGCGAAAGGAGAGTGTGTGCGAAAAATAGCCTTCTTGAGTGTGAACACGAGAACGGAGCACAAGGTTGCTTGACAAACGGCCAATCCGCTGAATGCCTGCTGAGAAGCTGGTAATAGCATTTTTAATATCCATGTTAGGTTGAATCGAGGTTTTCCATTAATGTAATCATTTGGCAGTGGCCGTATTTAGACTCCGTAAATTGATATCAAACATTTATTCTGGTTCAACTTTTGACCGGGGTTAACGTTTAACGAACACAGCTAAAACAAAAGTACGCATTTTCGAGCTTCGAAGATCATAGCTGAGCACTTCTGTCAGACCTATGTCGTATTTTTATTACCGCGGTTAATTCGAAAGTGTTCGAGCTTGAGTAGTAGTGCTGTATGACACTCATTTTTAATAGAAAATAAGCAAGGTTTTGCGATTACATTTTGTCTCGTTTATACCCTTTGTTGCATGAAAGGCCAGCTCCGCATGCGATACCAGACATATAAGTAAATGCCGGATTCAGAACAGGCAGAAAAGCGCCAAAAAAGCTCACAGGTACTTGTTATAGCGAGCCAAAGTTCACGCATTATTCATATAAGTAATCACAAACGTTCACAAACATAGTTAAGACATCATGACAGTGCAAGAAGCGCGCATGAGATATACAAGGGTTGTAATCTAGCGCCAGATTTGAGCCGCAGTAACTGATATTCTGCTTCCTCTCCGAGACGCCATGGCACTGAAGTGGGTAATGACAAATGCACGCAAAGGCTGCGTTAGGGCTACCGTGTAATTATGCGGGGTGCTTTATTTTTGGCTTTACAGACCTGTTTAAAAATTGCCCTTAAAGCTACACTAATGTGCTGAGTGCAGGCTATGTGGTCAGGTGGACAAAATATGGGGGGGTTATTATCACCGTAAAAAAAAGATAAACTCTTTTTTTTTTTTTGATTATCGAAAATGAACATATGCTTCGAACTAGAAACTTGATGAGCGTCATCGGAAATCACTAAACCGTTATTAGAGAAACCTGCATCACGTGGAAAGCACGGTAGAGTGCTGTATTTTCCCCTCGTGCTGCAGGCGCAAAGCTACTGGTGCGGTTTTCCCGCTTTTTATCATCCACGATTTCTGAATCCAGCTTATTACAATTGCACGAGTGGCAACTTTAGAACAGATCTGCGCGTCGCATTCGCTTAATTTTTTTTCCAAAATATTATTGACTTAGTGTTTTTTTTAGGTTCATTACATTTATAAATAAAATCAGATCTTCATTTTTGTCTAATTAAAACGCTACTTAACAATTACTGGTTATTTCTTTTTAACTTATATTGACGACTTGTTTCCTATATCATGTCCCCCCTGACCGTATAATTTACCTGCACAGACCGCATTTATGTGAGTATAATGGCTTTAAAAAAAATACAGGGTGTCACAAATGAAAATTTACAAGGTCTTTTTTACCGCAAAAATAAACTAGGCATCG